TGGTTTTAGACTTCTTGATTGAAACAGGAGCAGGGCTATCACTGCTATCATCATGCTTACGCTTGCGCACTTCTCCATTCTCAGCCTCCACAGTTGCTGATTTATCATCCCTCTCAGGGGCAGCCGCAGCACCAGCAATCATAGCATCTCCACCGGTAGGCAAAACCACATTCCTACTCCACTCTACCGGAGTTTTCTCATTCGGCTTCCCGTGCTTGTCCAGTTTCCCATCAGCAATAAGCTTCTTCTTCATCGAAGCTCTAGGTCCCAATCCCCATTTCCTCGGGTAAGTGTCTCTGTCCATCACCACTCGTTTGATCTTAGCCACCACACCGTGATCACAAGTAGCCATCACAGATGTTGTCATCTCAGCGATCCCAATAGCAATCGCCTCACCTTTAGTCGTCATAAGAACAACTTCCGTGCCAACATCAATATCATTCTCGAATCTCAACAGCCCAGGAATCATCAACTTAGCACCGTAACAGATTGCATTGACAGCTGAATCCTTCACAACAAGTCTCTTGTAGCTCGTCAGAATCACCTCAAGAGGCATAATCACCCTCCTAAGATAAGTCTCATCCTTGTAATTTTTATACATCCATTGAGCATCCATCACATCATGCATTGTAACCATGTTATCATTCTCACCTAAAATCCCAGACCTAACCKTCCTAAGCTCCTGCATATGCCCACCAACACCAAGAAGCAAACCCAAGTGAACACACAGAGTCCTAATGTAAGTACCAGCTTCACAAGAGACCCAGAAAACAACCAAATGCCTATCTGCATCATACTCAAGCAGCTTACTCTGATAGATTGTCCTAATCCTAAGCACTCTTTTCACAGCAGAGATCAAAGGAGGCTTCTGAAACACAGCTCCAGTGAGAGATTCAAGAGCTCTAGCTACTTTAGCAACATCAGGAACAGCAGAGTGAAGCCTAGCTACACAGACATACTCTTTACCCGCACCTTGCTGCGATTTCACGAGCCGTGTAGCTCGATCGATGCAAACAATGAGATTTCCGGTGACTTTAGGGTCAAGAGTACCACTGTGACCAGTCTTCTCAACCTGGAGGATTCGCTTGATCCAAGCAACGACCTCGTGAGAAGAAGGGTTCGCGGGTTTATCGAGATTAATTACACCGTACCTGATGTAATCGATGAGAGGACGTTTGAGAGGTGAGTGACCGGAGGAGATTGGAGTGTAGTGACCGGTACGGACGTTGAGGCGGTCGTAGTTCTTGAGGAGGATTGGCCACTGAGATGTGTCGATGGGTGGAGTGAAGCTCTGAGGCTTGATCATGTAGTCTCCGGTGTCGGCTTCGTTGTCCGCCATGGCTCCGGTTGGATTAGGGTTTTGAGAAATGGAGGAAGAGGAGGCGTAGAGTTTAGTTGCGGAGGATTTGTGAATGTGAATTTATAAAGGGACTAGGGTTTTTTAGGGTTTTAGGTGACGAGAGTGAAGACATTGGGAAGCTTGAAGATACTCTTTAATTGGGCTTTCTTATATACAAGTTTTAGTTCGTTTAAAGCCCAAATAAGCAAGGTCCATATACTGTATTGGTTTTATGTTTTTGTTTGATTAGGGATCATTTTTCACAAATGCACGAGGATTGATGTCACGGAGGAAAGGTTTATAGAATATAATACAGTATGATCGTTGATTTTGAAACAAGTCTAGTATTGCGGTCTTGTATTAGCAATACTAGTTATATAATCAGAATTATTAATTGGTCACAAACCTAATGAGGCATGAAGAACGCCTCATGCTAATTTTAGAGTCTATATTATAAGAACCACAATCTTGTGTGAGTATTGACCCCATAAAAATTAAATATGGAACCATAATATATAGTTTAAATTACAAATATAATTTACAACAAAAATTTGACTAGCCAAATTCAAATCGACATACATGTCACTGAAAAAAATTATAGTGTTTTGGTCCACATATATATTACAAAAAATAACGTGGCCGTCCAAACACATGAAAAGTTACCAATCACACAATGAATCTTTATTC